TTCCACGTCGGCCCCACCAATATTTATCGACGAGCCCCCCTCAACAGGACGCGCCGGGTCGACCCTTGGGCCGGCTCTCTCCTCACGTGCCGACCTTCCCGACCGAATAGCGTCGGCCATATAAGTGGGCGCCAAGGCTACCCGAGACTTTCTGCCGTCATCAGCTTCAACGGCTACCCCTTTCCCCTTCTCTAATCTTCTCCTTTTCTTTTCCGGCGGCTCCTCGCCCTGGGAAGATTCGTCGGCAGGATGTGAAGCCCGCGGTAGCAAAATTGGCTCCCCTGCGGCTGCAACCTCAGACATAGCTCCCTGGCGGGGCGTAAGAGAAGGACCCCTACGAACAAACTCGCATAAAAGGTCCTAAGCGTCCGCGACGGTAGTAGGACGCGCGGAAACAGGAGCTGCTTCCTTCTTCCTGGAAGGACCTCGACCTATCACCATAAGATCACAGTTAGGCAAGGTTGACTAATCGACCAAGCAAAATCAAAAGTTTACCTGTAGGAACTTGAGGGCCGTAACGTTGCATGAAAGCAGGCCAGGTCCGGGTTTCCTCCGCATGAGGCAGCAGACCGGCGACCCAGCTCCTTAGTCCGTTAACGGGCTGGGGTGGGCGTGCCATGGCTGTAATATAAAAGTTAGAACCACGACAACAACATGCAACAGAGAACTTGATGAACTACGGCACTTACGTGTGTGGTTCCATCTTTCCGGAAACCCGGTAGGGTTGGAAACCAGATGCTTGGTCCTAATGAAGAAATACTTGTGCCAGAATTTATGGCTCGGTCGGTCGTCGGTCCCAACCACCAATCCCTTCGTACCACGCATCCTCAAGTGCACCATAGTCCCCCTAAGGAAACCGGCTGTGAATAAATGCAAAAGATGATGGACGGAGACGTTATTTCTGGCCAACGCTGCATATTTGGTCAATAACAACAGTACTTTAAGTGTATACAGTGTGAGTTGAGCCGGGCAGATATGGTAGAACCTGCAGAACTCCTCCGCCAAGGGAAAGAGAGGAAGTCCATAGCCTATCAAAAAGGGGTACTCATAAAAGGCACAGTAGCCCGGCCTATGAACATCGACGTTGTCCTCCCCCGCCGGAACCATCTCTACGTGGTCCGGAATGCTGTACTTCGCACGGAGGTCCTCTAAGTGGTTGAGTCCCGTCTCGGAATGCACCGAAGCCGGAACTGCAGAATTTTTGTTAAAATCACACCGAGGCAAAGAATGCCTCGGTAATAGAGCTTCTACCGTGAGAGGACCGAGATCCTCTTCCACTTCCACCTCTCCGCCATCGGAGGAGGGCGGTGCATTCGACGGATCAGCATTAGGAGCCTCTTTGGTACGACGAGATTTGGGCATGTTTTTGTCCGAAAAAGATCACCCGAAGAGAAATGAAGAAGAAGAAAACCTCTGATCAAGAACAGAGAGTATAGAAACACGAAAATCAATAAGAGGGCTGGTAAGTTCTCAAGAGTGACTAAAAGTTCTTCACCGAAATTGAACCCTTCCCCTATTTATAGGGTTGGGTGGCGCCAGAATCGAAGCGTCAGGTTTCAAATCGATGCGGGAAACCAAGCGCCAAAATGTCAGTTCTTTTCCGCCTCGAGAATATGCGTAATGATGACGCATGAGAACACTGACGTCATCCAACGTAGAATGTTCTACTTTAACGTTCCGACAGAAATGATCGCCGTTTCATACCTATCATGTCGCATAAAGTCAACAAAGTCAAACTCTCTCTGGCGAACACGTTGATTCGGCCCATCGATGACGCATCCCGTTGCGACCCCGACGAGCGGAGGGACTAACTGTATGGGATCGAATTTGACTAACCACGTCCCACCGCCTGCGTGACTAACCGTCGAATGTCTACGACTCGACACAAGAGAACGACCCCGGGTGAGGTGGGGGACAACCTCGACCTGTTATTAGTTCCGTTATAAAGTACACTAACGTTATCACTCTTAGGGTTTAGCTCGAATCCCTCTATTATATAAAGGAGGTCCGAACATTGTAATAGGGTGGGACTTGTAACAAAAGAACTGACTCTCTTTCTAATATTCATCTCTCTAATATTTATCTCTCTAATCTTATCTCTCTATCTCTCCCTCTCTATTATCCATACATTGTTGTTATTATTCCGATTAGTAAAACGATCCTGGGGATTATTATCTCCGACTACGATTTGCCCTTTCACTTCTGTGATTGATTTGCTTAAAAGGATTTTAACATTTTTGAGTCAAACAAAAATAGGGTTTCATTTTCCTTTAATTTGAGAGACTTGTGTTTTTCTTATTTAAAATAAAATAAATAAAAGAACGAAGATTGTCCAATTAACTTGCATACATGTCCTCAAGAATCCATCCCGATTAATCTGGATTCGAGCTTAGTAAGACCTATTATAAGGGAAATCGCTCTAATTGTTTCATTTTAAGAACTCGAACTCATAACTCTAGTAAAGATGAAGGAATCTTATCCAACCAACCACAATTCTTGGTGGTAGCTTGAATCATCTCTACTGGCTTATAATGTACTAAAATTATACTACTTTTTTTTCAACGAAGGGGGATTTTGTTGAATTTCCTAGCTCCCACATATATCTGCTATTGATGATTTCAAAACGAGCCTTATTTTACTTTTGAAAATTTCAAATGAAATATTTCTTTTGTAATCAAAAAAAAAATCAATCGATATAATCAGCTGCAGCTTCAAAATTTCGGAAAATAAACTATTGATAAAAGATATCAAAAATAGATTGTCCAATGTGGACAGAATATTTTATAGAAATTATCTAAACAAATAGAAAACACGTGAGGTTAGTTTGCTCCTTGAAGCCTTGAGGTCTGAAAATAAGTTCATAAAAGAACTAACTAAACCAACACAACCTAACCAAGTAATATTGCCGAACTAATTTTATGAATAATTCATATATTGGTAGGAAGTTAGCTAAAATGTGCAAAATGTCCACATTTTCTCTTTGTTTCTTTTACTTTTTGGCCAATAGAAATTTGGAAAAGAAAATAATAGAGAAAGAAATTCTAAGCTTTTACTATTTGTAAAAGAGCAATTTTCACTACTAAAAAAAATAGATATTAACGATATTCTGTAGCTAAATAAAAAAAAATTCGCCGCTATCAATTTATCGGCGGATTAGCGACATTATATCAAGATATTCTGTTAGCTATAAGCAATTTAGCGACATGTTAGCCGGCGTTTGTAACCATTTCTAGTTTCTTTTGTAGGGTTTTCAGATTTCATTTCAATAAAATATATTTTACACTTATCCAAAACACCTCTTTCCATCTTCCTTTTTCTCTTATTTATCATTTTTCTCTGTTTCCCAAAAAAGAGATGCAGAATCTTTCAGGTAGAAATTTCCTTCTACTTCTTACAACCTTGAAGATAAATCTTAATTTAAGTGTTTGTTAATTTTGATAGTGACATGAAACAGTAGAAGGTAAGAAAAAGAGAATTGCGTATGGTTAAGGGCTGTGCATTGTTTGTGCTATTCCATACAATTGGGAGTTTATAAGAGGAAGTATTATTATTCACTTTAGGTTAGGAAGATGAGAATGACATATTTATAACTGAAAATAACTAAAGCACAATCAAGGTTCCATTAACTAAATAAAGAAATGATAATCAACTTATACCTAACTTGTGTCGTGGCATATACCATTATTATTTACGTAGGTGGATCTAGCTTGTAAGCTATGGATTCACGTGAACTTAATAATTTTTCTCAAATTATTTATATCTATCATTCACCAAATATTTATAAATATTTGATTGTAACTCAGTATCAATATATATAATTTGAAATCGTTATAAGAATTCATAAATTTTAAATCTTGAATCCTGTTGGAATATCACCATTATATATATAATACATAAGCATGAGTAAACCTCTTGGAATATCATTTTCGAAGCAGTGGTGATGGGAAAACACTTGACAGGTGAAAGTTATCCACATGAAAGGAATATTTCTTTAAAAATAGCAAAGAATTGGACCAAACATAGGACCAAAGATGAAAGAAATTTGTTGTTTATACTAAGAATATTAGTGTTCATGGGGTCTATTGATAAATGTTGAAAGAAAAGTTGTCTCTTAAGACAACCTTGATTGGACTTCACAGTGGAACCATTCACTGTACTCATACGAAAATGTTTGGATATCTTTTGGAGCAAAATAAGTTTATAAAAAGAAAACGTCTTTGAATAGTTATAGTTTTGTTTCTAAAGATTTGCAGTTTTTTGAAAGTGTTTCTTTTTAAAAGAAAAATAAAAAACACCCAAAAACTATATCTTCAAAAGCAAAGTTTTAGAAAGCCCTTACAAAGATTTCTAGAGAAAAACTTGAACACATAATTTTCTGTTAGAAAATTCTGTTTTGCATGATTTCAAAAGATTGCTCATAAAACAAAGGAAATCATTGCCACTACACCAATACTAGTTCTCTAAGATACGTTACTTGCATCAGTAAAACATATAACCTTACTCGGAGTTATGGTGAAATTATAATCAGGTTTACATTAGATTTTCTATTGTTTTGTGTTATTTTTTTCGCTTCGGTTTCCTTGCTATCTTGTGTTTTATTTTTTTCGCTTTGGTTTTCTTGCTATCTTGTTGTTATTACTCCCTGTTGCTACTGTTTTTTTTAGCCAAAGGTTTATCGAAAACAGCCTCTCTACCTTCACAATAAAGGGGTAAGGTATGCGTACACACTACCCTCCTCAGACCCCACTCGTAGAATTACACTGAATTTTGTTGTTACACATTAATATGAACTTGTCCTTTGTTCCTCTAGCATTATTCTAATAAATCCATTAAAAATAAAAAAGATCTAACAATGATATATAAAGCATGTCAAGATATTTCATGACTAAAGTTTTTTGCATTCCTAACTTTGCATAATAGTTAGTGACAAGGACAAGAGATATTTAGACACGGAGAAAGAGTTACCTAATAGTCTGGAAAATGTTATACAAGTTCGGATAATGAAAAAAACATATACCAATTGTTTAAATTATGTTGCAATTCAAATATGAATCCTCATAGAATGAATTAAAGTATAGCTTCTCTACAATATTTCTCAGTAAAATTACAAGGAATGTGATAGGAACAATCAAATTTCGGGCAGCCAAAAAAACAAAAGAATGGCTTCTCCACAATATTACCCAATCAGAGCTGACCCTGAATCAAAAACTGACAGAGTTTTAGTTACCTAGAAAATTTAAAGAGACAAAAAGAAACTGTGTATTTAGACAAGAAATGGCCACTCACCGATAAAAATGGAAATTTAGCAGGAGCTGGTGCTGAGTTAAATTTATAGTTATCAAGCTGAGGGCTGCTGAATTCAGTGTATGCAAATGCAGGCAGTGTAGTTCCAAGTTTTAAACTTTACGACGTGCTGATGATCGCTTCTGATTTGTTGGCTTGTATACGAACTTGCTTAGATCCATGTTACTAGCGGACCTTAAGTCAAAAGGTAAATTCAGAGATAGCAACAAAAAGCAGACAAATCTTTAAGCTAAACATAAACTCAGATGTCTAAAATATTGCTTACCTGTTAGTGCTGGTATTCTTAATATCTTTTAGAGGGGCTCGGAGCCCACTGGCTCGAGAACCATTTGAGGTGAATCTAAACGATGATATGACTGAAGCAAAACTTTCTATTGATTTCTCCGCTATTTGAGAATAACGTCCTAAATGAGAGATATTGGAACCAAATTTGGCATCTCTGTTGGAATCATCCAGGTCGGAGTTGAAGTTGCCTGAAATACAAAGATGTTATGATGTCTCTCCTGTAAAGAGATTCTAGTAAAGGTAACCAACAAAAGCATGTGGATGAAGGAGATTCTTCATAATTGTATGACAAAGCCTTTTCTTTGTAAGAAATGGTTTAGAGAAAAAGAAAAGATAAGAAAATTTATTAAGTGTTCAAATTATCACATGGAACAGAACTCAATCGCTTGAGAAGCTAAGAAAATCATCGGATCGTCCAAATGATTTGAAGAGTCAAGCCATGGAAAATTGAAGCACCGTCCTCAAGAAAGATATCCAATATAGCACATCTCAACTATACTGTCCTAGTTGCAGGCACAAATCAAATGTTTACCGGCGAAAAATTTATTGGCAACAACAACAACAAGCCCAGTAATTTCCCACAAGTAGGGTCAGGGGAGGGAAAGATGTACGCAGCGTTACCGCTACCCTGGAAGGGCACAAAAAGAAAGTTTATTGGCAAGAACAAAAAAAAGAAGGATCTTTAATTACTGTCAAAAGAAATACATGTGCCTTCTTATGGCAATTCCAGGCAACATATCATGAAGATATAGAATTCTGTAACAACTTCTAGATTGTTGCATGTCATTATGGTTAAGTCCAACATGTACTCCTAGGCTCTTACAATTTTGGTTTAACCAAGCTACAACGTCAAAAATGAAATGTTTCTTAAACGACAGTTTCCTGAAAAAAAATTGAGATGAAAAAGTAGAGGATTATTATTAAATAGTACCAAGTTGGTACAGAATGAGTATCAGGAAGGAGAATAGGTCTTCCTTCTGTTTCTATTTTTGTTTTTATTACCTATTTTATTTGTAAAAGTTGTGGTTATTGTTCTTTTTTATCATACTTTGAAACATTAAACTTATATTTCTAAATGACAAGTTAAAGTTAATCGATGTCAGAAAAAAGATGGAAACTTTGATCAATTTGACCTTGTAAAGTGAACGACGTCGTTCTTTTTGGTAAGAAAGGAGTACCGCATTCCAGTTTTTGCTGCTTTGGTTGTTGAGAATCCCTTTTTATTCCAAAACACAGAAGCCAAAGCTAAAGTTGTTAGGATCTATCGCTACTCAGAGTAAGAAAGATAATAGTTTGCTGAAGGATCTGAAAGGAATTCAAAAGGTTTAAGAAGCACTGCAAATAGAAGTTAAACAAGAACTTTCATCCTGTCTGTGAAAGGGTTAAAACTGTAGACAAATTGACAAGAGAAAAAGATATGTATGTGAAAGATGGGACTTCGACCTAAAAGTTTACCACAAGAAAAAAAAAAGACCTCTTTAAAATGAGATTCCTTTGACATGCCCTTGATCCCTAGTCATTTCCTAATATTCGAAGGACACAGATATTGGTAAATTGGATAAAGATGAACTTTGGATGGCTGAAGGCAGATCTCATCTAATGTTGCTTGCAACTGAACGAAAATACTTGAACGTCTGAATTCCTTTAACCTCCTCAATCTCTCCTAAGTCAAATTCAGTATAATTTTATTGAAAACTGTACCATTTTGTAGTAAGTCAGAAAAAGACTTAATTCCTGTCAAGCCTCTCAATTAAGCACCAGATTTCTTGCCTGTATCGGACTTAAACCTCCTCCCCCAGACCTTTCCTTCATTTTAGGTGGAATTCCTCAGTCTAATTTTTTTCGACTTAGCCTCTTCCTTTAACTGTCTATCAGCAAGCAAACCATCTTTTTCCCTATTCTTTAATTCATGGAACTCTGATCACCAGTATTTGCCAACAACAGCAAATGAGTTTTTCATCTTTTCAGCACGAGCAAGACAGAATCCAGCTTTCTAAGTGCCAAAAAGAGGAACAAAACCTTCGATATTTCTGATAGGAGAATTGCACTAGTGCCACATATATATTACATTGGTAACAATCACTAAAAAAAATGTTCTAATACCAAATGACATGTGTGTTCTGCTTTTTTCAATTGCAAAGTTCCAACCTTCACTAGTATTGATGAATTGTAGTATAGTTAACCACAAACTGGTCCCTACATCAACCACAACCTTCATATATACAACACTGTACATAGAAGAAAATAAACATTTATCGCTAACTTGTTAATTGATCTTTTATTTCCGCTTTTCAATTATATAGTGTAGTATTTGGTTAGCATCCCCAGATACATTAGCTGTTACGAAAAAGTAAGTGCACAGCTCTAGCAGTATCAGCACAAATTAGGAGTATAAAAATGTGGAAAGAAACAATAATTGGAGTAAAATAATTTGCACATATCCGATGAGTTCAAAATATTGCTTTTAGCCTTGTACATACCTTGATCTGCAGATATTTCAGCCTCTAAATATTCAGCTCTTTCACTTTCCTATTAAATAAAGACAAATTTGGTGTAACAAGCTGCAAGCTTGACTAAATTTTGCATCAAAACAAAGTGAAGATGAAAGGAAGAGACACATCAATGGAAAGCAACTTACGGTTTGAGCAGTGTCAATGAAGGTAACCTTTCTTTTCTTTAATCTCACTTCACAGCAGTCATTTCCTGGAGAAGCCTTGGGACTGGTATGTTGCAGCTCAGCAGCAACATGTGAGTTGTCCTGACAATTTTCATTCTCTTTTGTTCCTGCTGATCGCTTGTGCTGAAAATAAGAACTCCTTACTATTACTCTTTTGTTCTCTTTCTCTTTCTGTTCAGTATCACCTGATGGAACCAAAAATGAAATTATTGTCATCAGGAGCATCATCCTTAATAAAAAGTTTAGAACTATTATTGAACCAACCATTTTCAGCTGATGGCTTATGCTGAAAATAAGAACTCCGCACAATGGCATTTTCAACAACTGCTGCTACTGTTTCATCCCTTGCATCTGACATAGGATCACAATCATTCTCCTGAATGCTTCTATGAGATTTATCATTGGCAGCCCCATTTATCTCACTCTTATCATCCTGATTATCTTCCTTTTTCTTATTCTTCAGAAAATAGGAGCTCCTCACTATCACTTTTCCTTTTTCAGCTTGTATCGTGCTCTTGCTCAAATCTAAAGCACGCTCCTTACTCGATGTCATGCAGGGTTTACATATTGGATGCTGTGGCGCAACAGGTTGTAGTCCTGTATCATTTGCAATTTCTTCCTCTTCCAGTCGTCCTGCTCAGAGGACATAAGGAAAGAGTGTTTAACTGCACTTAGATGCTCTAAAAAAATCTGTATATTTACCTTGACTTTTTGAGTCCAAACACCAGGAAGCTTTCAAGAGAATATCATCATCCACCTAAAGACAGGAAACTTCTACTATTCAGAGAGATGCAATCAGAATTCCAATATGATACAACAATGTTATTCTCAGAGTATTAACTGCAAAACCGTCTTTCCTCACCGGAGCAGAAGATACACCCAGAAGATTAGGCGAGGACATTGGCAAGCTCTCAAATTTAGGAGAATCAGCTCCCTTCTTACTGTCTGCCCAAGGGCTTGACACTCCAATCTCCGTGTTTGGATGAACAGGGCTAGTTCTTGGTGCCCTAAATTTCTGCTTTGCTTCAAGAGAAGCAATGCCTATAAATAGTTAAGTATCACAAGAACCAATCAAACAAAGTATCAGGAAAAAGATTTTACAAAATGCAGATTTACGCCATAAACATGAGGAAGAGAAATGATCTATGTTCAACTACCTTGGGCATCTTTGCTCCTCAATATAAAAGGTGCATTGCTGAACATTTGTGTTCGAATTAGTCTCAGATCCAGCATTATTTAGAAGCTCTCAAAAGAATATCATCATCCACCTAAAGAAAGTGTTTCCCGCAACATTCTTTTGTTTGTTCTTTTTGCTTGGGATTTGTACGGCATGATATGCTCTATATTCAAGTTTCAATGGGTAGTTCCTAAAACAGTGGCAGATGCTATGACAACATGGAGAGTGAAGATGCTAGGTGAAAGGAAGAAGAAAGTTGGTAAAGGGGAGGGCCCATTATCCACCAAGTTCTGAATCATGCGCTATTGTCCTTCGGGGTCCCCAAAAAAAATGAAGGAAGAAGAACTATGGGAAGATCACCTCTTTGTGTGCTGACTAGTGTTTAGAGAATAGATGATTTTTAGGGGAATGTGAGGATTCATTGTTATTTTTTTATAAGGATGTTAAGAGCTCCCTTCTATTTTATTTCATTTGGTATGTTGGTGTAAAGAGGATTCCTCCTTGTATGTAGAATCAGCTAGATTCTTGGGAGGCTTGAGGCATACATGTAATACAACACCATTTAATAGTCAAACCACATTGGTTGTATGAATGAAATTCTTTGACTTACCAAGAATATCTAGGACACTGCAATGCTTCAAAAGCTTTGCAGCTGCTGAGAGGGCTAAACTTAAAGTTTCAGGGGATTATACGAATCTAGAATCTTCAAAGCATTGAATCCTACAAAAGTCTAAGCCTCGAATGCCAGATTCAAATATCTGTGGATGTAAGTTCTCAGCAATAGCTGTGAGAAATCAAACTAAAATTACTATACCTCAATCCTAAACTAGTCGGATTCAACAATATGAACCCTCTATACTCAATCAGCTCTATATTTGCCTTTGTGATTCTAATATTGGGAAGTAATATTCTAAAATCAGAGGTTATCTAAGTCTCGTACTTATCCCTACACTGACATTCACGTCTCCAACCAGCCAAAGAGATCCTGGCAAACGTCAGACCTAATATAAAGTCCTAATCTATTCAGAAAAAAGGAAAAAGAGATATACTAACGAAATACCATTTTACATCATAAACAGGAGGAAAATAAATGATGTATGTTCAGATACCTTTAGGCTTCTTTCCTCCTAAATATACAAGGTATATTGCTAAATAACTGCTTTGTCTTAAACATATAGAAAAAGAAAGAGAAAAATCACCCTTAATGATGCTTTGAGCTTCCAATGACAGTAAAAGCGTAAACGTAAGTACTTGTACAGTAGGATACAGAAGTAGTTGGTTAGGAGATTGTTCTGTGCAGGCAAATCAAGCTTCCTCCTTTCACCTTCCACTTTGAAGTCATTCAGTTCATAAGTTCTGCTATGCACCAGTTCAGCAGCATTGCATTCTTTCTGGTGAATTGAAATTCCATAGCTTAGAAGTACTATAAACTTGATATGAAATATACTTAAGGATAAGGAAAGAAACAGTTGTCAGAAGTTACAGAGCAGCACACTATCTTCATCCAATTTTCATAAAGTTGCAACAAAAAAAAATCATTTGTATTGAAATGGATAAAGATCTAGATAATCATAAAAGAGGAAGACACGCAACAAGAAGCGCAGCAGAGGAAAGATGTTATATATGAAGAAAAACCAGTAAGTTTCATGCCATCATGTATATCTTCACTAGAACATGAGATAATGCCCATATATCCCTCAGATTATGGCCCTATGTTCAATTACTCCCTCTGTCCCATTCTAATTGACATGTATCGACTTTCACAGAGTTCAAGAGTAATTTTCAAGTGAATCTTGTGTTGAGTTTGGTGGAGAAGGGTTTAAAAGTACACTTCAAAATACAAAAAGGTAGAGAATTAGTGGAAAGCTGTTGCAACAACTTTAAAATGATACAATGTAGTATTCATTTATTAGGCAAGATTAGTGGGAGAAGAAATTGTCATATTAGAAAGAGGTCAATTTTTTGGAAGGGACGAAAAAATAAAATATGTCAATGAAAGTAGGACAGAAGTAGTATTTTACCAAGATGGTTAACAATAGGCTGCCTCGAGTTCCCTTCAAACCTCAGTTTAATCGAAACATAAATATCACTGAAGCTAGAGCATAAATGCAGTAGTGACATAAATTTGAAGGGGACTGTAGGTAAAGCAACCAAAAGTTATTGGTCTTCAAAATCACGAGAACTGAAATCAAGAAATTTTAATAAAGGAAAGAGGCCTAAATACCTGAAATGGCATCATAGTGAAAGGATCAATATTGCCTTTTGCTATTCCTTGAGCAACTTCTGTTGGTATCAGCGTTCTTCTAGTTAAGGAATGACTCATAGAAAAAACGGAAATAAAGGAAATAGATTCTTACATGCATCTAAGTTGCATCATGAATAAATTTGGAAGGATATGGGCCTAGGAAATCTAGATCTTGACTACCACAATCAGAGAGCTCAGACAAATGAATCAAATCTTCAGTAATGGGATCATAAACTCGTTGATGCTGGAAGGTCATAATTGCTTTCTTGAAAGATTCTTCATACAGAGGAGAAACTGCAGCAGTACTGTACCTCAAGTGCTTAATGACCTGCAAACAAGCAAATCAATATCTAATTATCATGCTTATGTAAATGCTCAATATCAAATGCAGGTCAATAGATAAGATAAGTAAACTGAGGAAGCAAGATCAGACTTTGGCAAATTACTACATACAAATTTTTCTAAGGAAGTCACATTTCTAATGCTCCAATAATAATATTCACCTTGTCATAGCTCTTGAACTTTTTTATAAGTGCATGAGCTTTTTTGAGGCCCATCCCGGGCAAGGACTGCAAATAGTCACAACCGCTCAAGATACACATCTCTAAAAGCATCTGCTTCGTGAAACCTGTTAAATTTAGTTCCTTATTTTGGTCCAGCTTGGAGCACTGAAACTCAAGGCCTTGCCCAAACTTATCCATTTTGTAAATGATCTGGATTCAATAAGAAATTAGCAGGACTTCCACGATGAACATTGTAACAGATAAAAGGAAAACTTTTTTAACAAAAGTTGCCATTAAAAGGGGCCAAAAGCTTACCCTAGGACAACCAAATGCTATTAAATCCGAGTCCTCGGTTATAACAGCATCAACTTGTTTGCTAATGGCCAGAAAGGTCATTTGAGCATCTGCTTCATAAGGAGCCACAATGTAACATACATTTTCCCGCTTTAGGACCTTCAAATGTAAATATCAGATTATGAGAAACAAAAGGTTGACTTGTTGACAGTAGTGAAATCATGATGGATTTAGTACCTGTATTAGATCGTGAGCCACTGAAGGTGATACATCAACTGCCTTTTGATAGCACTCATAAGCAGCAGTCATGTTTCCATTAGCTTCATGCTCTATTGCACGAGAAAGGTTTTCTTTCCTAGACCTGCAGGAAAATATGGGGATGAAGTTAGCAACAGTAAAAAGCTTGCCATGATTTAGGGATGCAAATTAAGGTATTCCCTACTACCTTTAAGGGCTGGATATCAAGGCAAGAGAGGTACAGTAGAGGTGACTGAAAGATTTAATAAGATGTTGGCAACATGGAAGAAGCAGTAACCTTCAATAGGGTAACTATTCCCAATTACAGGTAAGGTAGTCAAACAACTGGAAAAAGTCAGAAATTATTATGGGAAGGGAATGGTGATCAACCCAAGTTCCATTATTATATGGGATGTGGCAATGAAACCGAAGTATTGCGGGGGTATGGGGTAAGAAATCTACAGCTATACAAAGCCAACTAACGAAGTGCTTTGGTAACGAATCTGATGCTACTGGAGGAAGGTAGTAAATGCAAAGCATGGAAATAAATTATTGGTATCAAGAAGATGCAAAACAAAAGAGAGTACAAGCAAATAGAGTGTGACTGATCATGAACATCAACAAAAAACCTATGTTAAAACTAAGGAGCAGACACAGTCCAGAAAATGATTACAACTAGATACATGTGCCTGGTTGAGCCAAGTAAAAAGATCAAATAAACATTTAGCTTTAAGGGCATGGTTTGGAGTTGATAGGAGCTAATTATCCTTTTCTTTTTGTAATTTTCATGGATACTGTAGATGCAATATATCAAATATTCTAATTAGCTCATTTAAAAAATTAAAAGGAACTCACAACGTAGACCTAAAAGTTAGGAGGTTATAAGTACCTTGCCCGCTTGTTCTCCTGGTCATTCTTCATTGGTAAGGGACCTCCATCAAACACAAGAATAGGCTTGACACCATAATGGCGTAATAGATTTACTCTGTGCATGCAATAATCAATATGCCTAAATGAAAATACAGTGGAAACATTGTCAGGGTTTGATTAAGCTAAAACTGAACTATTTACATTTCAGTCTTTTCAGACAATCATTAGAGTTTCATTTTTGAAGAAAGAACTTTCTAAGACTTCCAATGCATTAGTGAAAGATGGAAATTTGTTTACCTCCCTAAAGGTAGTTCACACATCTAATCTTAATGTGAAATCTATAATATATTGGCCGCAGAGTATTTTACTAATGTGATCTCAACAATTAATCTGCCCAAAATAGACAAACACAATGTTGTTTCCTTCTAAAAGTACATAAAGCTTGTTGGACTGTTGTTCCATATGAATACTAGTTAGCAAACTCAAACCAAGAAATGAAGCTATTATAAAATCCATAACAACTATCCGGTTAAACCCCATTGCTATCGTGAACAGAAAGCAAAGCAAAAATGTCCTGTTCATGAATCGGTATAAACACATGGATTGAGATTTATAGTCCCTTTGCATTAATCATCAGCTGAATCAAAAATTAGTCCAAAAATTCATTTACTTTTTCCACATTTCACATAAATTGCAAAAGAAAGATCAAGAGAAAAAGAAAAATACAAAACACATACCACGAAAAAAGACATACCAAGGACCCCATCATGAAAATCAAATCACAAAACTTTAGAAGAATGAAACAACAGAAGAAAAAAATGTACCAGGAAAAAAAACCATAATCCCTCACCCATTAAATAGTAGTAGTACAAATTAAAAAACAAATCAAGAACAGAAGAAATTAAAAAAAAAAGATTCTTTTATTCATCTACTATCTTGATTAAATTACACAAAAATAAAAAAAAGATTAGCGGAAAATGAAAGATCAGCGGAGAAAGAAAGGTGAATACTTGGTAGTGGGGATGCCTTTGCAGAGCTCTTTGCTGCAAGAGAAAGCACCCTTGTGAAGCCAGGAATATGTATCAACAGCTACACTGCAACCCTTCAATTCTTTGATGTTTATGGGTAACATTATCGATTTCAAGAGGGGCAAAAGCCCTTGTATACCCATTATTCTGTTACCGTATTCAATTCAAGAATATTTGCATTTTTGAAAAATGGCTTTGAGCTGGAATTGCTGTTAAAGCCCTAATATCTGAGCACCCATTTGATAGAGAGGGGTGGAATTTAGAAACGAGGGAGAAAGGGGAATGGCGGGAAGTATTTCTTGAGAGTGCAGCAATTGGGGCGTCTATGGAATTTTGCTGTTTTTGTGGTATCTAAATAAATTTTGTAAAAGTAGCACTTTTGAGTTTTCTCTCTCTCTTTTTTGAAAAGGCCAGATATGCCAGTTAACTATGTGTATTAGAACACATATGTCCGTCATCATTAGTTTGGCACACATACATTCAAACTGTCAAATACTTGCTCATTCAGCCCTTAGTTAGACGAAACCCACTATTTTATCTTTTTTAAATAATTAATAAACCGACCCAGCCAAAATCTACTGACCGGATCCACCCTTATTTCTAGATGACCCCACTAGCTATTCCCTTATTTCTAGCCCTTCCTTTTCACATTATCTCTTCATGAAGATGGCTTCTTTTTAAAACCCTCAATTAGGCTTCAATTTGCTCGCTATATTGAGTTTATTCTTAAGCAGGTTAGCTATCTCGTTTGATTTTCACTCACTTTGCTCTCTTAATTCTTTCATTTGCTTTTGAAATGTCGGAATACTCGAGTTCTTCAAATAGTCGTAGAAGGATATGTGGATGTGGAGTTGCTGCGCTCCATCTCACATCGCGTACTGAAATGAATCCTGGGAGACGCTTTTTCAGGTGTCATAAGCCTGGTGTGAGTTTTCTCTTTTTCCTTGTTAATGTTTATTTTGACAGATTTGTATCGATGATTTTGGCATATTTGTAACCGATTTTTGTTATGATGTTAATGTTTTATTACAGAAAACTGGATGTGGTTATTGGGAATGGGAAGACGATAAATTTCCACCAAAAGCTATTATTGTCATCAACAAATTGAAAAGGGAAAAGGATGCTCTTCTAAAAGAAAGACTAGGAAATGGGTGGGGGGGGGGGGGGAATTATTTCTTATGTTATTGGGTTTCATTATTGAATTTGTGGTTAGTTTCATGTTTTGAGGGAAGACTTGAAAATATGATTGTAATTGCTTATGGTTGTTTTAGTTGTATAATCTAGATGCATTTTAATATGATGGTCGGATGATTATAATTGGAAATGTTTTAGATGATTTGGAATGCAATGTCATTTGTGTCGTATTAATTGTTTGAAATATTTCTATACGGAATCAATGTTCTCAAGAAAATAATTTTTCAGACTAGTGTCAATATTTCCAATTTTCCTCGAATCCATGCCTACAGAAAGACATTCATCTAGCCAAGTGAAGACTATGAAGTAATAATTTGCATGTTGAACGGAGAATATGCAAAATAACTAAAAAGATAAACTACTTTTTGTAATTGTGTACCTGTATTATGCATAACTTTGTAAAAGTGGCAGAGCCAAGCAGGGTAGTGTTCATGCCTTGACGCTCTGTCTAGATGAGATATTAATATTTTCACTATCATTGTAATACGAGCCTAATTAGAGACTGCTGAAAATACCTAAAGGCACATTGATAATGTTCCATTAAATATGATGTTAAAATATTTTAAATGAAGAGATACAACTGATATCAATTGTGCTTGTGCTATGTTAAATATTAGCTTATCTCAAAATGTAAGAGAAAAATTTGTTGATGTGATGATCACAGAAAGAACCACTTAGGACAACAAATCTTATGTTGCTGCTTGCTAAACCTGCGAGCTCAACTAACTGCAATAAGCTCTGTTCAACTTCTCCTTCTTCCTTAGTAGCTTTCAAGACCTGAAGAACAACTAGACTAGTAAAATATTCATGGAGCTGTTCCTTCAGCCCAAATAGACTAAATTCAAAATCTGCTGAACATCTTTCTGAGTAAACAGATGTGGACAGGAAGTTCTCTTTTTATTTTTTTACTCATTCTCTCTTATAAATTAGAAAAGCTCATATATTTGCCTATAGATGAACCTTAAAGAAAAGGATTTTGGCCTTTAAAATAGGAATTATATCTCTTTATTTTTTCTCTTGAGACTAACTACTAATAAATCTACTAACTCTCCCCATATCAAGAGAAGTTCAAAGTAAAATGAACATGCATCCCCACATATGTACATAGCCACACTAAATCTAACCACAAAACATATAGCAAAAGTTGAACAGGGAAAGTATAGCTAATCCCTATAAATATTCATAATATCAAAAGCAAAAAGTTCGAAGCACAAACCAAAAAAAAAAAAAAATTATAAGCGAGATATCCAACTTAAATGGTCCAACCACTATACTTTTTTCCTTTTAAACACTAGCTCAACCTTTCTCCCCTTGAATACCGAGCTTTGGGTTCGAACTCGTCATATGCTCCTAGTTAACACACATCACGACTCTCTCCACTGAACCAATTCACCGGGGCCCCAAACAATATTCATATACAAACAACTTTCGCATCCATTATCCAAAAGGACATCCATATCAACTAAACCAAGATAACATTCATATCAGTTAAACATATCAAACCCTCGACATGTCAAATATGATTGTGAATTCACCAAAAACATATAGTTTTGCGCATAATAGTCATCCATAAACTAAGTTAATTAAGTTTTTCACAAAAATATCTAGCAAAATACCACCTGTTTTGTACACAACCATCCATAAAAAATATAACTAGCCAAATGATGATCTGCCCAACTTTTGCTAAATTTCAGAATTTGGTACAGGACTCCTTTCCCATTTGGCGCCATCTTCTTTCTCTTTTTTCTTGCTTCATCTTGGAGCTGGCTAAGTGTAAGTGCGACTTTCCTCTTCCAAGTTGTCTTAGTTGGTGAGTAAGGCAAGTTTGTTGGCATAGACACTCCATCTGCACCCCCAGTAAATAGGATCCTTCTTGTCCTAGTTAGTAGTCTTGCTTTCAATCTTTCTTGCCTTAAGTATTGACTGTGACTCAGAGATGATTTGTGGCCTCGACGGTGGATCTTCCTCATCACCAATATTTGGACCATAGGCTTGTGATTGTTATGTTGTGACTTGAGAAGAGTAATCAGATTGTTGTGTCTGTGCTTCAGTTTCTGATTCAAAGTCCAACCAATCATCTTCAGTACTAAGAGTCGATATTGTACTATCCTTTTGCTTCCTTTTACTTGATATTGTAATCTCTCCATCATTTTGCCCTGCCATCCAAAGAATGTGTTAATAAGAATTTGTCATACTTTAAAATTTCATTATAAGTTTGTTTTACCTTGAAACAAGTCCTAGAATTATGGTTCTCTCTGCTATATTTGTTGCATGTCATCACGGTTCCTTTTCTTGAATTACTCCACTCTCCCTTCCTCTTCCTTGCTTCATCGGGTTCTCTATTTCTTTTTACAATGTCTACCCACAGTCTTGAAAATTTCAGGTGGTTCCATTGCTTAGCTAGGATCAATTTTCCAGAATTTTATACCACCCCTAACTGGTTGAAACTTGTGCTTGTAAGTCAAGGAATATGCTTCTTTGATATAGTACCAATGAATTTATGCCTTAGGATCACCCTTCAGAAGTAAGAAATAAAACTAATTAGATAACTTGAAAAATATAAGGTTAAAAAAGAAAATTAAATTATAATATTTCATACCCAATCATATATTATATCTTTGATATCATAGGGGTAAGAGATCCCAGAAAGTTGCCATAATCTACAAGTGCAATTTCTATGTTCAAGATCCACAGTATGTCTATCATCACCTTCTGCGATTTCATATCCAAAGTCATCATTAAACTCAACCTTGCAATAATGAACTATTTCCCTATAGTTATTGTAAAGTATCACTTGGACGAAAGTCATCTTTCCATTTTCTGACAAAATAGATACAAGGAGTCAAAAGAAAATATAAGAAAATTAACATTATATAAAACAGAAGTAGAACATTTCATAATAACTAGCCATTACCTGATTTTATCTTCATTGATAGCCAAAAGATTCATAACCTTTGTCCTAATCTCCTCGAGTATTTTGATAATTGGCATATGTCTAGCTTCAAGAATCCATGCATTAAACGACTCAGTAAAATTATTGTCGACCATCGTATTTTTACACCGAGTGTAAAAATATGCTCTACACCAAGAATGGGAGGATAATGCAGGAGATATTTGGCACCAGAAGCATCATCATCCTCACATAGCTCACTCATCCTTTTTAGTTGATCTTTGAAATCTTCTTCATAAGTGTTCTAAGTACACCACACAACTACTCTTCATTTATCCACTTTTCCACTTCTTCTGCCAATTTGCCTCAATATGTCTTGCGCAATACCTATGATGAGCTTTAGGAAGTATATTCTCCATAGCATCAATTAACCCCTACGATAAAATAAGAACAAACAGTCAGAAAAGGTAAAATATTAAGTGTATAAAAGAGAACAACAGAAATTAGAGATGAAAGTTGTAGTGTTTACCTTTTGCATATCCGAGATGAAAGTCACTCCTTGTCCATCAATTAGCTCCAGAGAAAGCTTCAAACACTCTAAAAACAAATGCAAGTCCTGGCAGTTTTCTTGTTTACCACAGCCCATGCAAAAGGATAAAATTAGTTCATATAATCTTGACCAATAGTCGCTAGCAACTGACCATTAGAAAGGTACCATCCAGTCCAATCAGTGGTCTCGAGCCACTTTTTCACCCATTTTTCAATGCATTGAAGTATATGTACATCCTTAAGAACTTTATTTTCCCTTCTTCAAGAGCATCCTTTGATAAATTGATCAGAACATCACTATTAGGATTAGATTGCCTTACTCTTTGACAATATGCCTCAACTTTGTTGTAGTCATCAACAAAACTTCCCTCCACTTCTTAAGAGCCAACCCCTTGGCCCTTTTGAGATTACTTTTGGACACCTTTAAATCAAAACTAGTCTCCAACTCAGCTTTCATATCCTTTAACTTGTACTTAGAATTGTACTGCACCTTTCTCAAAAATAATTGAGCCAAAGTATTCTGACCAGCCCTAGGATTTTTGAAACGTGTATCACACGTATGTTCATCTCTAAGTGTTTTGATTCTAATGGTAGGACACTTCGCATCATTTGAAATATACAGTCTAAAAGGGCAGCCTTCAACACACTTGTAACTAGCCCTAGTTGTATCGTTTTGAGCAACTTCAACACTCTTTTATTTACCAATGATAGAAGTTTACTGCCTTTTAGCTTCTACAATATCCTTAAATGTCATACTTAGCTCTAACTCCTTGAAACGTTCCAACTTATCAGTTACAACCATCTTCTTTTCTTTGATAATACCACCAAGTTCTATAGAATGACCATCAAAACTATATGATTCATCAAAGTCACTTCCCCCAAGACTATTTTCACATTCAAAAGCTACATCAATGTCTACAGAATATGTCTCTGTATGATGAGTAATATTTTGAGCAAACACCTTTAGACTCACCAACAATAAAGAAATTAATCACCTCGAAGTTCTTTAGAAAAAAAGTACTGAAGAGTCATCACACCTTCGTCATCAGTTCCCAGGTAGTACCTCCCCGAAGGTCCGGTCACTAAAAAATTGTTTTATATAGCTAAACCCTAACTTTTTTGTAAGCAGTTTTTTGAAAAGATCGGGCTCGGAATTATTGGAAGAATTCTTAACTTCGGAAGAACAAGTTCTTTCTTTGACTTTCCCACGAGCTTCTTCTAGTTTATGGGGAGTATATAGAAGTCGGATTTGGTATTTGGATATTTTTTGTATCAATGATCTGGCTACTTTAGCTCTTGCTCAAAAAGACATTAAGAGAGGTTTAGCCTATTCCACAATGTCTCAATTGGGTTATATGATGCTAGCTCTTGAAATAAAATCATATTTAACCAGATAAGAGACATAACCAGAAAAAGTGTGCACCAACATCTTGTTATATACTATCTTAGGGGAAAAGATTCAGTTACCCCCATAGTGAAACATCAAGTCCACTTTATCAATCATCTTCAACGGACTTCACATGCAAAGGCATAGAAAAAGATACAAGAAGGGACTACATCAGTACATATAAAGTCATATTCAACTGCAGACCAAAAAAAAATTACAGATACTGTCCAAGACCTAAACCCGACAAAACCGTCAAAATTTTCAACATTATTGACTGTATTTTGTTCTTTAGTGTATTAAAATACAAAAAGATATCATAAACAACATCACTCTTTAATAAATTCTAACATAGCATAGTCAATCCCTACATATGAAACACACAAGAAAAAATTTGAACTCACATATATAACACACAAAGAAAGCATAAAATAGTCATACCTTAGTCGAGACTAGCGGAAAATAGACAGGCATACACCCTTCGGTCAAAAATCCCTCAAAGATGGAAACCCTACTTGTGAAAATAAGGAGAGAAGCTTGAGTGAATAGAAATAGAAATAAAAATATACGGATATGAAGGGAATAACTAGTGGGGTCATCTAGAAATAAGGGTGGGTCGAGTCATAATGGATCGGGTTAGTAGATTTTGGTTGGGTCCGGTTATTAATTATTTAAGAAAGACAAAATAGTGGGTTACGTTTAATTAAGGGCATGAATGAGCAAGTATTGGATTATCTGTGCCAAACTAATAACGACGGACATATCTATCCTAATTCGCATAGTTCACTGGCATATCTGGCCCTTTTCCGTTTTTTCCTGCTATTTTTCTTTTCTTGTCTTTTTCGGGTCAAGGATTTTCCAATCTTTTAAGAAGAATTAATCCGATTAGCCGCTCACCCATTCGCTTAAACGGAAAATACCCAGTTGAGGTATAATATATGTACATATGTGTATGATCGTGTATAATCAATATAGTATATGTATATGGTTAGAAAAAGTAAATAACGAACATGGCATGCTATTTGTGTAAAGATCGCATCTTTTACAAAGGAGAAAGGGGTTTCAACAACGACACAACAACAACAAACCCAGTATAATCCCATGAGTAGGACTTAAGGAGGTCATTGTATAAGTACGGGAGGGGGGGGGGTGGTGAATAGCCTATTTAAAATTTGTATTATAAGTAGTTTACTAGTTTACCAATTAGTCGACTAGAGATAAGAACAGGAAAATAGTAATGCAGGAAATAAAGACACCAAAATTTTATAAAGGTTTGAATTCAATGTGAATCCTACTCCAGTCCCCTTAGGTTGCAAGGGTGTTCTCTTTCAGCGATCGAAGTTTCTTGAGTACAGAATGGTTGATGTAGCTTTACACCAACAGTTTGATATCTTGTCACTTTTCTCTTCTTGATATAATGCCTCACCAGTGTTTGTCTCTTTTCTTCTCTAACTAATTACACAGCAGATCTAAAAGAACTACAATGCTTGTTTGGAGTAGAACAAAAGGAGTGGTAATGGTTCGTTCAAAGTATGTCTTCTTCGAGTCTGGAACATATGTATATATATACTTCGTGAGGCCTTCTTGATTCATGAATCTTGAGAGATTGCAAACCCAAGGGAGTTGATCCTTGAAAGGAATTATAGATTGATTCTTCCCAAGAAGAAAGTTAAGTTTCCGTTGATCTTCCTTGATTTGTGATCTTGATGAGCTTTTCATCCGCTAGGCATATCTTTTTGTTACTTGAGTGATTTGCAATAGATCCCTTGATTTCTGGCTTCAACGATCTCCAGTGCATCCCTTTGCGATCTCGTTTCTCTTTGATTTGGGACCTTCCAGTAATAGCTTCCGTCAATCATTTATAGAATCATTGATTGATTCTTCTTTCGGATCTCCGCTGCTTCTTCCTTTTTCATCCCTATTATTTTACTTGCGTTGCTTTTAGAGCTCCCGTTAATAGATTGTTTCCTTAATCTATTCTTGAATGATATTGCTTCTTGATTCCTTTGTTTTATTCATTGTGATCCTGCACCAAATGTGATATATTTTTTTGCATCATCGAAACTCATAATTAACAATCTTCCCCTTTTTGATGATGACAAAAAAATAATATATAAATAATAGTTTACTTCCCTGTAGTCGACTCCCCAGCAGCAGGTGCTGCATATTCAATTGACTCCCGCTGAACAGGTGTTGCATATACTTTAGTCGACTCCCCTTTAACAAGAGTTGCTAACTATCTCTCATGCAATGTACAACTTCTTTCTCCCCCTTTTGACATCAGCAAAGAGGGGTTATGCATATATATAAATTATGGGCAAATAAAGCACAAACAGACACATTTTAGGCAAATATTTGCAAATTATAGGCATGCAGAGTTTAGAAAAAATAAGAAAAATATCCAGCGACTTGTTATTCAGTCCAAAATAGCAAAATAGCAAAAAGAGATTGTTTGAAACTTCCAGAACTAACGACGCAAGAAATAAGTAAGAGTGTTTAAAATCGCCTCCTTCAGACGTTCAAAGCTGGCATTGGCTGAAACTATCACCCCATCAATAATGTCATGTACTTCCTTGAAGGCTTTGACTACATTTTCTCCAAGTTTGAGAATTTTAACCCTTATCTTTGAAATATCGGACCCAGTCTCTTTGGAGATCGCGTGGATGTCCCCAACAGTGGATTGATTGCAGCAAGAAGGTCCTTAATGATGGTCAATTTGTTGTTAATAGCAGTCACTTTCTCCATAAGGCTAGGATCACTTACACTATGATGGGAAACAGAGGCTTTGATCTTGGAATCAGGCTGAACGTCCTTAACTTCACCTTCCTGTTTCTTCACCCAGGAACTCTTAGCCCACACATACCCTGTACTAGCAAAAGCTCTAGAGTTGTAGGACTTTGAAACAGAGACAAAGGGGTATTCTGAGATAGAGATGTTGTGGGCTTCCAAAATGTGGGTGATAGCCATACCATAGGAAAAATTGGTGGGATCATCAGCACTCTCAATCATGAAGTTTATGAACCCCATGAGGATAGGTTAACATTTAGTTTGGTCATAAGACAGTAGACAAGAGAGGTATCTCATTGAGAGAAGGTGGAGAATAATCCAGTACGAGGAAGAAGAGTAGTTGCAACAATGTGGACCTTTTTCTCCTATTTGGTGAGAGTGGTCTGATAGTTCTGCCTGAAAAGAGGCAAACCCTTCTCAGTGGTCAGACCTAGGTCTACTTGTTCTAGGGGCTGAGAAAAGAGTTTTCCCTTGGAACGAGTACTTTTTCTAGTAGAGGCAGACGAATTCTTGGAATGTTTAGACATTGAAAGTTTTTTAGGAAGGGTTTGAGGATTTTGAGGAGGGCTTCTGAGTGATAGGAACAATGAAGACATAGAAGAGTGGTTCAAGGGATTAAAAGGAAGGGATTTTGACGGTTGAGTGCAGGAAAAGAAAGGGTGTCAATGAAGGGTCATGATGATTTTCTTTTTTTTTTCTTGAAAGCTGCGACTGGTGGGAAAAGAGAGGGAAATCTAAGGCGCTAAATTAATGCATACTTACAGAAAGAATAAGATTAAAACATTAGGCACACAAGAATACACATAGGTCCTAATTTTTATGATCAAGCGAAATAATACCAAGTAGTTCTCTTAGGGAGAAAAATCTAGCTTCAAGTAAAGGCTTAGTGAAAATGTCTGTTAATTGATCAGTGGTGCCAATAAATGATACTTCTATATCTCTCTTGGGGATATGATTTCTAATGAAATGATGTTTGATGTCTATATGTTTAGCCCTAGAATGATGCACAGGATTCTTTGAGAGACATATAGCACTAGAATTATCACAAAATATTTGAATAGGTTTAAAAAATAGTTCATAGTCACCCAATTGATGAGACATCCACAATAACTGTGCACAACATTGCCTAATGGCAATATATTCTGCCTCCGTATTGAATAATGCAACTGAGCCTTATTTCTTACTGTTCCATGATATTAATGCCTTTCCCAGTAATTGACATGTTCTGCTAGTGCTTTTTCAATCTTCCTTATCACCTGCAAGATCAACATCTGAAAAACCTTCAGCTTAAAATTGTTAGAACATGGGTACCATAGTCCATAAGAAATAGTTCTGATGAGATAACGATTATTCTCTTTACTGCAGTCAGATACGATTCCTTAGGAGCTGACTGAACCTGGCATATTTACACAAACTAAACATAATATCTGGTCGGCTGGCAGTCAAGTAAATCAAGGAGCCAATCATTCCACGATATTTAGTTTCATCAACTGGATTTCCTTTTTTGTCCTTGTCAAGATTTGTTGACGAGCTCATTGGCATACCAATTGCTTTAGCACTGCTCATGCCAAACTTCTGAACTAACTCCTTTGTATATATCATGTGATACACAAACGTTCCTTCTTTAGATTGTTGAATTGGAAGTCCAAGGAAAAACGTAAGCTCTCCCATCATGCTCATTTCAAACTCACTTTGCATAAGACCAACGAATTCTCTTGTAAACCCATGATCAAGTAGAAATGAACTAAGCCTTTCGTACCAGGCTCGTGGAGCTTGTTTGAGTCCATACAGAGCTTTAGTCAACTTATGCACATGGTAAGAGAATTTTGAGTCTTCAAACCAGGAGGTTTTTTTTACATATACCTCCTCATCAATAAAGCCATTCAAAAAGGCACTTTTGACGTCCATTGAAAAAGTCTAGATCGTTTGAAGGATGCGTATGCAAGAAGATTCTGTATAGATTCTAGTCGAGCTACTGGTGCGAAGATTTCATCGTAGTCAAATCTTTCCTATTGTGAGTAGCCTTGAGCTACTAATCTGGCTTTATTTCTCATAACCTTTCCATCTTCATTGAGCTTGTTTCTGAAAACCCATTTTGTTCCAACTACAATAGCATCTGCAGGCTTAGGTAGTAGTTCCCAGACTTTATTCTTATCAAATTGATCGATTTCTTCCTACATTGCTTGTACCCAGTTAGAGTCTTTTAGGGCTTCATCAACCTTCTTTGGTTCAATTTGGGAAATGAGTGCTACATTTGCCTTTTTCTTGAGAGCTCCCCTGATTTTCATTCATTCGCTTGGATCTCCTATGATAAAATTTTGGGGATATTCCGGTTCATTTCTACACTCATTTGGATGTGTTGCAATTGTATAAGTAGTTGACTCCTTCTGTGATTCTGGTTGACTGTTAACAGGCTCATTAGTTGATTCTGTGACACCGTCTATCTTATCAGTCGACTTATGAGGTTTGCTTGACCGTGATGTTTCTTGACTGATATCTTTATCACCTGTAATAATTCCTTTCTCGGCTGTAGTATTATTTTCATTGAATATGACATGTAATGATTCTTCTATAGATAAAGTGTGTTTATTATAAACTCTAAAAGATCTACTGTTTACGGAATAACCCAGAAAAATACCTTCTTCACTTTTTGGATTAAATTTTCCAAGATTGTCCTTACCATTATTATGGATAAGACACTTGCTGCCAAAAAGGATGGAAATAACCTATGTTGGGCCGTTTACCTTTCCATAGTTCATATGAAGTCTTCTTCAAGATAGGTCTTATAAGACATCTGTTGAGAATGTCGTAGGCTTTGCTTACTGCTTCTGTCCAAAAATGATTTGGCAAGGAGTATTCTAATATCATTGTTCTGGCCATATCTTGTAGGGTTCTATTTTTCCACTCAAGTACTCCCTTCTGTTGAGGTGATCTTGGAGTTGAGAAGTTGTGAGTATATCCTTAATCATTTCAGAAATCTTCAAATGCTCTGCTTTCGAATTCTCCTCCATGATCACTTTGAATGGTTGTAATAAGGTACCCCTTTTCTCTTTCAACTCTCTTACAGAAAATCTCAAAGTTTTTTCAAAGCTTCATCTTTGTGAGATAAGAAAATCACCCATGTAAAACGTGAATAGTCATCAACAATAACAAAAGCATATCATTTTCCTCCTATGCTAGCAGTTTTGGTGGGTCTAAACAAATTCATATGGAGCAATTGTAAAGGCTTGGTGGCAGACACAATATTTTTATTTTTGAAGGAGTTTCTGATTTGTTTACCAATTTGACATCATCATATACATGATTTCTAGAAAAGTTGAGTTTAGGAAGACCAATAACTAAATTATTCTTGGAGAGTTTCTCAATAAGATGCATGCTTGCATGACCAAGTTTCTTATGTCACAACCATGGATCATCAGATATAGATGCTAAGAAGACGTGACTATCTAGATTTTCACAACCATCAAGAATATAATCATTTCCATACATTTTCCCTGGGAGTATTATTTTACCTGTCTCGTCTTCAATGGCACAACCTGTTTTCTTAAATTTAACTTCGTACCCTGAATCACATAGCTGACTTATACCCAGGAGATTGTAGTTGAGTCCATCTACAAGATACACTTTAGTAATATCACAATTGTTATTGAATGGAACTGTGTCAGTGCCAACTATCTTTCCTTTTGAGTCATCGCCAAATTTGACACTTCCCCCATTTATCTTTGTAACTTCTTTGAACATGCTTTTGTCAGATGTCATGTGACTGGAACACACACTCTCTAAGTACCATTTTCCTTTGTGGCTCTTCCTGTCGTGTTCCTGCAAAACAAAATTATCACTTTTTTTAGGTACCCAAGCTTGCTTAGGTCCTTGTTGGTTAGTTCTACTAAGATCAGAATTGTTTTTGGGTTCCCAAATCCATCCTGAAACATTAGATTTACGAAATCAACAGAAAGAATATTTATGTTCACTTTTATTACAGTAGTGACACATAGGGGCTAATCCATTTTTTGATCTACCACTTATGTTAGTACTTATGGACTCAGTTCTAATCGGTCTTTTTCCAATTGACTTGTAAGTCGCTTGGTTAGACTTGACGGAACTGTGACTGGTGGACTTGCGCATGCCATTAAGTTGCATTTGCAATTCCTAAACTTCATCTTGAAGTACCTCTTTTTCAATTTCACATACTTCAAGCTTGAGTTTCCTGTCTTTCTTTTACCTATTGAGTCTCCTTAGTTCATTCATTATTTTTTGAGACCCTTTTAGAGTAAGTTCAAGAATATCCTGCAATTCGTTACATCTATCAAGTTATAAGATCTTACCTCTCTTGTTTCACCTCGTGCTGTGAAACAATTTTCATTATCATCTTTGCATTCATCGTCTGATGCATCTTCATTGGTCCAGCAGCCGGAGTATTTGTTCATGTCATTTTCCAGAATGGTCATGAAGCATAGATTTGCTATTTCCTCGTGTTCCAAACTGTCTTCATCACTCCAGATTCCAAAAGATTTATTTTTATTGAAACCTCTAGAAACCTTTCTTTTAAGATTTGGGCATTTAGCTTGAACATGCCCATATCTTCCACACTCAGAACATTTTCCATCATTCTTGTCTTGTTCATTGTATTGCCTGGTTCGCTTGGGGGGAGTCCTACCTCTTCGTGTGTTCCTGTATCTTCTCATTAAACCATCTATGTTTCTTGATACCATGGCAATCTCTTCTTCAAGAGATTTTGGGTCATCAATATCATTTTCTGGTCTTTCAGTTGTACCTTTGAAGGCTACTGTTTTCTTCTTTTCATCCTAGTTTGTTTTCTTGAGGTGAGTTTTCTCGAATACTATAAGATCTCCTCGAAGCTCATCATTTGAAAGTTTGTTTAGATCTTGTGATTCGAGTGCAACTACTTTTGTCTGCCAAGTGGTAGGTTGGCTCCTTAGAATTTTCCGAACTTGATCACCACTTTAGCATGGTTTACCAAAGCTTTTAGATCTCTAATAATTTTGCTGAACCTTGCAAACATTTCCTCAATGGATTCTCCTTCTTTCATCTAGAAGAGTTCATAGTCATGAACCAACATGTTGATGTGAGTTTCTTTCACTTTGCTGGTTCCTTCATAAGTAACTTCTAGTTTATCCCACATTTCTTTGACTGTATCACAACTTGAGATTTTTTCATATTCCTCTCCAGTTATAGCATTATAGAGTAAATTTCGTGCTTTAGCATTAACCTGAACAATTGCCATTTGCTCGTCTATGTACTCATCTATATCTTCTGGATCAGCAGGTGGTTGAGTTGTTACTGGCAGTGGATAATTCCCCTTTTTGATAACTCGCCATACTTTGACATCATAGGATTTTGCATATATTTCCACACGCACTTTCCAGTGAGAAAAGTGTTGTCCATTCAAATACGGTGGCCTAACTTGCGATGTTCCTTCTTGAAAGAGTGCTCCAACAATTACTTGATTTGCCATGATCTTTTCTCACAAGCTGTTAAGCAAAAAGTGTGAGACTAGCTCTGATACCAATTGAAAGTACAAGAGGAGGGGGGGGGCTTTGAATTGCCTATTTAAAATTTGTATTATAAGTAGTTGACTAGTTTACCAATTAGTCAATTAGAGATAAGAACAGGAAAATAGTAATGCAGGAAATAAAGACACCAGAATTTTATACTGGTTCGGATTCAATGTGAATGCTGCTCCAGTACCCTTGGGTTGCAATGGTGTTCTCTTTCAGTGATCAAAGTTTCTTGAGTACGGAATGGTTGATGTAGCATTACACCAACAGTTTGATCTCTATGTCACTTTTCTCTTCTTGATACAATGCTTCACCAGTGTTTGACTCTTTTTCTTCTCTCACTAATTACACAGCATATCTAAAAGAACTATAGTGCTTGTTTGGAGTAGAACAAAAGGAGTGGTAATGGTTCGTTCAAAGTATGTCTTCTTCAAGTCTAGAACATATGTATATATTTATACTTCGTGAGGCCTTCTTGATTCGTGAATCTTGAGAGATTGCAAACCCAAGGGAGTTGATCCTTGAAAGGAATCATAGATTGATTCTTTCTAAGAATAAAGTTAAGTTTCCATTGATCTTCCTTGATTTGTGGTCTTGACGAGTTTTTCATCCGATAGGCATATCTTTTTGTTACTTGAGTGGTTTGTGATAGATCCCTTGATTTTTGGATTCAACGATCTCCAGTACATCCATTTGCAACCTCGTTTCCCTTTGATTTTGGTGTCACGACCTGAACCATGGCATGGGCGTAACACAACACTCGGTGCCTAACTACATATGACCGAGCAAACCAACTGGGTGGCTATATCAACATGTGGTATAACTGTAAGCTGAATAGAAACACTCAACATGTTGATCTACTAATGAGTCTGTGTGAAATATCATAAATGCGGAAAGTACTGAATAGTCTGCAAATATAAACGAGTAGCCGACAAGGCTAACACATAAAAGCCTGCTAATACCTGACTGGCTGGGCTATAGTCTACGAAGCCTCTAAAGAACACTGAAATGCTAACTGTTTACCAAGACAAGGTCCCTGGTATACCTTATTAACTGAAATACTATAATGACTGAAAAAGGGAGGGATAATGCCCCGACAGACTGGGGCTCACCAATAGTTGATACGAGATGTCCTAGCAAACATAATCGTTAACCTGTAAATCGTTACCTGCATCGCGAGATGCAGGCCCCGGGCAAAAAGGGACGTCAGTACATTTGAATTGCACTGGTATGTAAAACAACTGAAGGAAAGAACTGTAAATACTGAAACTGAAACTGATAACTGATAACTGAACTAAACATAGGAAGTAAGGTTATGAATAATCCCTCTTCTGAATGATGAACCAACTGTTTATCTGAATAAATAGACTGCGGCCTCAAGCCCAACATATATATATATATTGCACAAACTGCAGCCTCGGGCCCAAGTATACATATACATAACTGCGGCCTCAGGCCCAAAAATGCATAAAGCATAAACTGCGGCCCCGAGCCCAAATACAGGTGTCCAACATTCAGGAACTTAGAATCAGGAATTGAGAATGATACCGCAATACATCATACTGAAATACTGAACCATACTGAGTTACATGATACCGGAATAATGAATAGGGCTAGACTGAGATGTGGATTCATAATAAGTTGATTTGTCATAACTGAAACTCATAGAATATTGAATGACTATGAAACTATGCCATCTAGAGAATAGAAGTTCTATGACTATTCATGGAACTAAGACATAATTACTTTCTAAGGAAACTAGTAATAGTCATAATTAATGGGACGTAGGGAGAATCATAGACATTCCCAAGCGTAAAGAGTTAGCCTCACATACCTTAACTTCCTGCTCTTGAGCGTAATACAACGTTTGTCAACCCTTTCAACTTTAATCTATAGCAATACAAGTCAAAGGGATTCTATATTAGCTATGATACTCATGTTTTGATCACTTAAGCATTTTATCAAACACTTGGTGAGAATAAAGCTTCATAGTCCTTAGTACGGTGTTTCTACACCCAATAGCCCATTCTCTTGCTCCTAAATAAATTCTAAAGTCTCAAATGGTTATAATCAACATCATTCTTTATCAACCATAAGGTAAACAACACCCTTAACCAATAATCAACAATCAACGCCCCAAATCTGTAACCGTTCATGATTTTCTATCAAATCCATCAACTCATATCTCATGAACTAGAGTCTATAATCATTAATCCAATGCTAGAATCAATTAGAGGGTGAAGCATTACCTTTTTGAAGTTCAATCCACTGGAATTCGAGTTCTAGGGTTCATTCTCTAACAATGATGTCCCAATCGAATATGTAATGATATGGAGGGTTTACCCATGTTAATAAGATGTTGGGAAATTGAAATTAACTTAGAATCACCATTAGAACTTACCTTGCATGGTGGAGGGAGCCTTGAGGAGTTAGGTTTTTGAGAGCTCTCCTTTCTAGAGCAAGATTTTGTGTTTTGGGGGTGTGGGGGACGAAATAGGGTTTTAAATGACCCCCCAAGTGCTCCCCCTGTGCACCTGAAGGCCTGATCGTGCACCTGACCACGCAAAATGGCAGTAACACTACCACAAGTGCGCGGCCGCGCACTGGGCGTGCATATTGCACACTATTTTGTAAAACGCACATAACTATTTGCACAGAGATTAGTTTGGGCTCCACAATATATCATTGCAAAGATGTTTCAAAGGCCTACAACTTTCTTGTTTTGAGTTTTCCCAAATACTTTACACATTTTCACTAAATTCTGCTACAAGATTGATTCTAAAATAACTATTTTCACTGATACTCATACCAATAGAACTTCACAAGTCTAAAATATAACATTACTACTCATTTAACACATTCACACCTAAGCCGAATTTACGGGGTGTTACATTATCTCCCCCTTGGAATCATTTGTCCTCGAATGATGGTCCTGGCTTCAACTACGACTATCTATGGACATTAAACGGGTGTGATGGTGAAATGTGAATACTGAAATATCATGAATACATGTATATCAAACTGAATGAGTACGTGATCACTGAATACTAAGCTGAGTAAATACTGAAAGACATGGAGATTATAATATAAGGTCTAAATGGAAAGGTTAATTACCTTCCACATTTTCCGTTTGCTCTTCAAAGACATGGGGATATCTGGACTTCATGTCCTCTTCGTCTTCCCACATAGCCTTTTCAATATTTTGATTCCTCCAAAGCACTTTTACCGAAGCAATTTCCTTAATTCTGAGCTTGCGGATTTGACGATCAAGAATAGCCACTAGAATTTCTTCGTAAGTCAAGCTGTCTTTAACCCCTATAATCTCCGTAGGAACCATAAGTGATGGGTCTCCCATGAATTTCTTCAACATGGACACATGAAACACTAGGTGTACAACAGCTAATTCTTGTGGCAATTCTAACTCATAAGCCACCTGCCCGATCCTTCGTAGGATTCTATATGGCCCAATATAGCGGGGACTAAGCTTCCCCTTCTTCCCAAATCTCATAACGTTCATAGGCAAAACTTTTAGAAAAACCCAATCATCAACTTGGAACTCTACGTCTCTACGCCGCACGTTCAAATAGGACTTTTGGCGACTTTGAGCCGTTTTCAAATGCTTTTGCATCAAGTTGACTTTTTCCATAGCCTGATAGACCAAATCGGGTCCTAACAACTCCGCTTCTCTAACTTCAAACCAACCAATTTGTGATCTACACCTTTGCCCATACAAAGCTTCGTACGGTGCCATCTTGATACTAGAGTGATAGCTGTGATTATAAGCAAACTCAATGTGAGGTAGATGATCATCCCAATTACCTTTAAATCGATAACACACGCCCTCAACATATCCTCAAGAGTCTAAATGGTGCGTTCTGCCTGGCCATATGTCCGAGGATGAAAAGTGGTGCTGAGGTACACCCTCGTGCCGAATCCCTTCTGAAAGGATTTCCAAAAGTTCGTTGTGAACTGAGCACCACGATCAGATATGATGGACAAAAGAGTCCCATGCAATCGGACAATTTCTTGGATATACAACTTGGCATAATCCTCGACCGAATCTATTGTCTTCACTGGCAAGAAGTGTGCTGACTTGGTAAGTCAGTCTACAATCACCCAAATCGAATCATGCTTCCGAAATGAGCAAGGTAGACCTGTTATGAAGTCCATGTTTATCATCTCCCATTTCCAAACGGGAATTTCTATACTCTGAGTTAAACCACCAGGCCTCTGGTATTCGACTTTCACTTGCTGACAATTTGGACACTTAGCATCGGAATCTGCTATATTCTTTTTCATATCGTTCCACCAATAAATCTCCTTAAGATCATGATACATCTTTGTGGAACCTGGGTGAATAGAATACCTGGAATTGTGGGCTTCTGACATAATCAGCTCTCTGAGACCATCTACGTCTGGAACGCATATTCTGCCTCTGTACCTCAAAGTACCATCATCTCCCCCTCGTTCAAAAGTCGTAGTCTTGTGTTTGTGAATTTCCTCCTTCAACTGCAATAAGTAGGGATCACTGAACTGTTTTTCCTTCACTTCAGCTACTAAGGAGGATTCGACCCTCTTCTGGAGAACAACGCCACCATCTTCGGAGTCCAAGAGTCGAACTCCTAGACTTGCTAAGCGGTGGACTTCCTTCATCATAGTTCGCTTGTCTGCCTCAATATGAGCTAAGCTTCCCATAGAACGCCGACTGAGAGCATCAACTACAACATTTTCTTTCCCCGCATGATCGAGGATATCAATTGTCACGCCCCAAAATCCGAGGAGCGCGACCGGCACTCAACCGAGTAAACCCGACTGAGCAAGCCTGTTAGGTTTCATTCTACCAAACTAATTCATGAATAAATAGGAGATGGACTCCATTAATCAAATTCTATAAACATGTCATTAACGATTTCCATTTCCTTTTCATTAGCAACTTCATTCACAATTTTGAAGATATTACAAGTTTTATACATCATTGCCAAACATCAATATTTCTATTTTAATTCCAATACCCGACACTACCCACAACCTGTCTATGGAGCCTCTAAATACAACTGAAGAATAATATGGAAATGCCGACAACAAGGCTCCGGCTATACCTCAAATACAAAGTACATGATTCAGATGAAACAGGACCCCGAAATGAAGTGGGGCTCACCGAGTCAGCTGAAGGGATGATGTGGCACTAGCTGCGGCCAACACTGCCTGCTATAGAAACACCTACATCCATTTAAAGACGTAGCGCCCCCGGCAAAAGGGACGTTAGTGCCATCGAATAGCACTAGTATGTATATCTAAACACCATCTCATTAGAAAGAACAACCATATAAGGACAAATAAATCATAAGGATTCAACAAAAGCTTTAAACAATCACTATATCATCAAATAAAAGGAATCACACAGCTTTCACATAATTTTCATAGCTTTAGATTGGGGCTTTTACTATGTTCATCATTATTCACAATACCACCGCTTTCTTGAGCGGAGTCCGATCACGGCCCGATCGGCTAAGCTGTCTCCCCGAGACGTTACCATTATTTCATTCACACTTTCCAGTTTCAATCATCAATACATTACCACCATGTGTATATATATCATGGCGTCCGATCACGGCCCGATCGGCTAGGCCGCCTTACCGAGGCGTTTCCATTTTCCATCACTCATCTCATATCACCCTTTGTTTCTCATAAATCATTTCATAGGCACTTGGGGCCGTGGCTATCACATCATATGTTTGGCACTAGGCCATATCTCACATCGTTTTCAATTTCAATGATAGATTCGCAATTTAGACAAATATGGGCACACAATAGCATTTAGGACTGTAAGCATAAATGCGACTTCACATGGATAACACAACATATGCAACTTCAACTCAAATTTAAGGTCTAAGCATTTCAATACGTAGTTCATATCTTTAGCCCCTTTTCAAGTTATCAAGATAGCACATCGTTCATGTTGAAACACATCTTTCCCCCATACAAGGTTATATCACAAATTCACGTAAAGTATCAATCAATACAAGAACCCAAATTTCAGTCTTAACACATTTACATAAGCAACAACGGAGCTCGATTTCTAAAAGACGGGGTTTAGCCATACATACCTCAACCGAGCTTTCCTTAATCCTATAATGTTCCGGAGTGTTTGCACTTCAATCTATTTAAGCAATATAGCACAATTTAACTCATAATCAGGAAAAGATCATAATCTAGGCTCTCTTGAGCATTTTATCAAGCATTTTTAGTGTTCATTAAGACCTTATGGTTCTCTTATGCAAGATTATACTAGCCCATTACCCATTCCTCTTTATTTATAATTATCCATATTCTTCAAGAACACATGCATGCGCTGTAATCCCCCTTATCCCCATGAATTGCCTCACTAGTGATCCCTTATAGCTATGTGTAAGAATAAGAGCTAAGGTGATGAAGTCTTACCTCTTGGGATGAAGTTTTAGGCCCTTCCCTTGATTATCTTCAATGATTTAACAAGGATTCATGGAGTAACTTGATGGGAAGTGATTTCCCTCTCTTAGACCCCTCTCTCTCACTCTAGAAGTATCAGGAAAATGGCTCAAAATGAGCTATTACACCGGATATAACGACAGGGGGTCGGGTTTAAAATTTAGAAAACTGGAGCCCCGACTCAGATCTGCGATCGCATTTGTGATCGCAAAGCTGACATGCGGTCCGCAGAATGGACCGTAAAATACTCCCCAAAACCTGAAGACACTATTTGGGTATGCGACGGAAATGCGGTCCGCATACCCATTATGCGGTTGCATAATGCACCGCAAAACTGACCTTTACAAAAATCCCAAGGGGATTATGCGACGACTATGCGGTTCGCATATCGATTATGCGATCGCATAATTGACCGCATAGTTGACCTCAATTTTGCCCAACATACTGACTCACTTTGCGGCAGATATGCGGTCCGCATACCTGATATGCGACCGCATTCTAGACCGCATAATTGCACTTTTCTGGAAAACTTTGATTCTTGATTTTTAAACGCATAGATCAGTACAAAAGGGTCCGAACCGCGACTCGCAAGCTCGCCGCGAAGAATTTTACACATTCCTAACACATATTCCTAATTTGGCACTACGAGCTTTTGAGTTTTGAGTACAAGGTTTTTCACGGGGCCTTACATCAACATCATAATCTTTAAGTAATTCAAGCCACCTCCTCTGATGTAGATTCAATTCTCTTTGCTTGAAGATGTACTGGAGACTCTTGTGATCTGTAAAAATGTCAACATGCACCCCATACAAATAATGGCGCCAGATCTTAAGCGCAAATACCACAGCTTCTAATTCAAGATCATGAGTCGGATAATTCTTCTCGTGAGCCTTGAGTTGTCTCGATACATAGGCAATGACTTTACCATACTGCATTAATACACACCCAAGACCAACCCCTAAAGTATCACAATAAACAACGAACCCTTCAGTTCTTTCCGGTAGTGTCAAGACTGGAGCTGAAGTCAACCTCTTCTTTAACTCCTCAAAACTTTTCTCGCAAGCATCCAACCATTGAAACTTGACTTTCTTTTGAGTTAATCTAGTCAAAGGGGACGAGATACAAGAAAATCCCTATACGAAATGCCTATAATAGCCTGCTAGACCCAAGAAACTTCTTATATCGGATGATGAGGTAGGTCTAGGCCAATTCTTCACTGCCAATATTTTCTGAGAGTCCACCTTCACGCCCTCCCATAAGATGACATGGCCCAAAAACGCTACCGTTTTCAACCAGAATTCACACTTAGAAAATTTCGCTTATAGCTTGTGATCCTGCAGTGTCTGCAACACAATTCTGAGATGTTTTTCATGGTCAATGTTGCTACAGGAATAAATCAAGATGTCATCAATAAACACAATAACAAATAAATAAAGATAAGGCTTGAAGACCCTATTTATAAGGTCCGTGAAAGCTGCTGGTGCATTTGTTAAACCAAATGACATTACCAAAAATTCGAAATGCCCATATCGAGTCCTGAAAGCTATTTTTGGAATATCAACTTCCTTAACCTTCAACTGATGGTATCCCGATCTGAGGTCAACCTTGGAATAACACTGGGCACCCTGAAGTTGATCAAATAAATCATCTATTCTGGGAAGAGGGTACTTGTTCTCGATAGTGACTTTATTCAGCTGACGATAGTCAATGCACATGCGCAAAGACCCATCCTTCTTTCGGACAAACAAGACCGGTGCGCCCCAAGGTGAGACACTTGGCCTTATAAATCCCTTGTCTAGAAGATCTTTCAACTGGACTTTTAGCTCTTTCAAGTCTGCTGGAGCCATTCTATAAGGCGGGATAGTTATCGGCTTAGTGCCTGGAAGTAGATCGATTCCAAAGTCAATCTCTCTATCGGGAGGGATTCTAGGAAGATCTTTCGGGAATTCATTTACAATTGTTACCAACTGGAGAGTGGGAATCTGAGCATCTACATCCTTAACTCGAACCAGGTGATAGATATACCCTTTGGAGATCATCTTTCTGGCTTTAAGATAGGAAATAAACCTACCTCTAGGTGTTACTGCACCACCCTTCCATTCTAAGACTGGTTCACCGAGAAATTCAAAACTTACTATTCTGGTTCTACAGCCCATTGTGGCATAACAATACTCTAACCAATCCATTCCCATGATTACACCGAAGTCTACCATCTTCAATTCTACTAAGTCTGCTACAGTAAGACGATGATACACTTTAACTGGACATCCCCTATAGATACATCTTGCTATAACTGATTCTCCAACTGGAGTGGACACTTCAAAGGATTCACACAACTTTTCTGGTTTTATCTCGAATTTCTTAGCAATATATAGGGTTACATAAGATAGGGTGGATCCCAGATCTATAAGAGCGTAGACATCAAAAGTGAATAGTGTTAGCATACCTGTGACAATATCTCCACGAGCCTCTGTATCCTGACGGCTTGCCAGTACATACAAGTGGTTTCGACCACCGCCTGCATTACTAGACTTTGCTGCACCACGCCCTTGTTGGGCCTAAGAGTTATAAGAGGCTGCTGAATTAGTGGACTGAACTACATTGCCTCCGTTGTTTTGCTTTGCTGATGGACAATCCCTCAAGAAGTGACCCTGCTGACCGCACCCAAAGCAACCATTTATGCCCGAACGATACAACCCCGGGTGCCTCTTACCACACGTGTTGCAAATAGGGTAACCAGGGACTTTGTAGCCCACACTAGCATGTGACTGTGAGTCTGCTGCTCTAAAATTCTAGTTTTACTTGTTAAAATTTGACCTCTAAACTGGTGCACTAGCTGAATATGGAGCAGGTCCCGATTTTGATTTCTTGAAGAACCAGCGATTTCCTCCTACTTGAGATCCCCCATGGCTAAAATTTCCTGCAGACTTAGCTCTCTTGCTGAATTCCCTCTCCTTCTCTCTTTGTAGCCGTTCTTCTTCCTTCAACCTGTCTTCGTTCCCTTGAACAAAGGAAACCATCTTACTGATGGTCGTGTCATTATTCTGAGCAGCTATATTAGCATCATCAAACAAATCATCTGAAAGCCCCAACACAAACTGCCTAACTCTGGCTCTCATATCACGTACCATTTTCGGAGCATACTTGGCCAGAGAGATGAACTTGAAGTAGTAATCATTCATACCCATATCGTTCTGTCTGAGTCTCTCAAACTCCAAAGCCTTGGC